GAAAATGATTCTGCTGACTTTATAGAATCTGGAACAAGAATGCCTGTCCTGTATGACTCCATGATGTGAAATGGCAGTTCACAGGGAGGATAGTAGGATGGAGGGAGAAGGACAGGCATATTAAAAAGGAGAGGAGAAAACTTTGAAGAGGAAGGAATGTGTTGAATCTGGAATGTGGTGATGCTTTAATTGCTGTATCCATATGTAAAAGTAATCAAATTGTATTCTTTAAAAAGATGCTATTTACTATATGGGACTTTAGAATGCTTAAACTGTAGGAAGGAAATATGAGACACAAACTCAATCCTCTCCCTTGGAAAGAGTCTCCATTTATCTGACAAAAACATTGCAAATATTTTTAAAAATAGTTACAGAACTTTACCTAGAAATTTTTAACTCAATTTAAAATGGAGGTAAGAAAATACAAAGTTACAATGGTCAAGAAGTCAAGGTCTTCTTTTAAATATTTAGAAATTTGTATCACATTATTTGTAATATATCCAAAAATATGCCCACACTGTATGAAAGAATAAGAAAAATATAGGAAAAAAGTCTTAAAGTTATAGATGAAAATATTACATAAAGATATGTTTATATATACATAAAACTGAGAGTAGACAGCTGTTATATTAATAATACCTGGGTTATATTCCAACAAAATAATCACAGATTGTTTAGCCCAAGTTTGTAAAAACATTAACTTTTGAAAATCAGTGTTCACTTTGCTGTTGAAACAGGGCACTTTGTGTCAGATTTTCAAAGTCCATAAAGATTTGCATAACATATGTTCTTAATTATGACTAAAACTGTGAGAACTGAAGTTAGTTAAAAGCACAATACCAAGTAACCAATAACAACAGTTCACTTTCATATGTTAGAGCATTGTGCCTAAAGCAATCAGTAGCAACCTTGGAAATCCATATGGAAAGCAATAAAAACTTTCGGGAATGTGTGACCACCACCACAAAAGGCACATATATTATTTTACAAACACTAGGGATTTACAAGTATTGGGGGAGAAAATACATTCAAAATGTAATTCAGACCAATCCACATACCAAGACAAAGTTTTGTGCAAACAAAACCTCTCTAAAAAACAGCATCTGAGCTCGGTAGCACCTTCGTCTTCATCCTCACAGTGGAAGTGAGTACAGCCTGGGCTCCTGGGAGGGACACACTCTTTCTGAGTAGCCTCTGTCTGAAAGGGACGAGGAGCTCTGGACACAATGGTTAAAGATGTGGATCAAATGCATGAGAAGGACAAAGGCCATCTTGTCATTAACCAGAAAAGCCTCCCCCATCTTGGGCAGTCTTGTCACATCTGACAACTATCTGGATGCAGCTTATCAGTCATGGGCTTCTACCTAGATGAGGTCCAAAGGGGCCAGGAAAGCTTAGGTTCTGACAGTCGACGGCCATGAGCAAGGGTGAAGGTGGAAAATGCAATGAGGAAAACTTATCCAAGTCTTCAGAGGTGAAGTAGGGAAAGAGTTTAACTGATCTATGAAAATGCGGCCAGGTAAAGGGAAAAAAATTCCAACAAAGATTATCAAGACATTTCCTCCTTCATAACCTCAAAAGAAACAACAAATTCTTCTTCGATTGGAGGTACTCATGTGAGGTGATTCTGCCTCGATGCAGTGGTTGCTTCCCATCACTAGAGTTTTCCAGATCCTTCTCTAGGAATCTGGTGGATGCTGGTCAGAACAAATACTCTCATCTCTATAAGGTGCCCTCTCCTGAGGGTAGTGGTGAGGCTTATAATGTGAGGGTGGAAACTTTCAAAGTAAAAACCTGTCATTTCTTTTTATTTGGACAATTATAGGACTTTAAGACTCTTTCTGCTTTGGGTAAATCAATGATCTACACAAGACGCATTTTACAAAACAAAAGACAATAGAGTTCTCATTCACATCCTGGCCATGTCACTCCTCATGACTCCCACATTGCAAACATCCCAGCAGGGTGCAACCCTTTCCTCTCCCATCTGATTGGCTTCTCAGGCTCCCTTCACTCTGATTGGACACAGACTCCCTGGAGGCAGCTCCCAAGAGGAGAACACATGGATGACTCAGAAGTTTCTAAAAAATCATCAAAGCAGATGATACAAAACTCAAATGACATTTCACGTTTTTGTTTTGTTTGAGACAAGGTCTCACCCTGTCACCCAGGCTGAAGTGGCGCAATCTTGGCTCACTGCAGCCTCCACCTCCTGGGTCCAAGCGATCTGCCCACCTGAGCCTGGGACTACAGGCTCGCCCTACCAGGCTAGACTAATTTTTTTTTTTGAATCTTTTGTAGAGATGAGGTTTTGCTATGATGCTCAGGCTGGTCTTGAACTCCTGGACACAAGCAATCTGCCCACCTCGGCCCCCACAAAGTGCTGGGATTACAGGCTGTGTAGTTTTACGCCGCCTGACACAACCCAACGAAAAGGAAGAAACCCCGTGGGTCCAAACATCTACTTTCAAGGGTGAATGGATGGCTAGAAAACCCCTGCAAGAGGAGCCAAAACAGCAGCCACCACACAGGTAAGTCCTGGTCCTCTCAGGGCACCCTGAAGTGGCCAGGACAGAGGTGGGAGTGGCTTAGGACTGGAGGAACGAAGGGGATAGGGATGGGAGTGGGATCTCAGTGGAGGAGGATGGGGAGGGCAGGGAAAAGGAGGGAAGGGAAGGGATGGCTGTTGGGCACCTGGAGGAGGAGGAGGATAAGGGGCTGTGGGAAAGGATCTGGTTTAAACTAAGTCCTCAAGCGCTGATGGGAGATTCAGCTACAGGTCATAGAGAAAGGCCATCAGCTATCAGTGAAGCAGCAGGACATGTGGGGCAGGGTAGCGGGAGGCTCAGGAGCAGAACTGTGGTTTCTGCTAAACCTTCTCCTGTCTGGAAGCTGCCTTAGCATACCCTGAGGCTTTATACTCCCTCTTCACAAATCCTTGGCCCAGTACTTGGGGCCTCACAGCGGGCAATCCACAAGAAGCCCGTGTTCTTCCAAGGTCCCCTCCCCGACCTGATCCCCCCATCCCCAACCCAAGGACAGGTCCTCTCTGGAAACTTCGCATTCTTTCTGATTCCTGGGTGCCAGCCCACTCTGGCCCACGGTAGGGTCCTAGGGGGCACAACTCTCTTTCTCTCTTGACTTCTAGATCTGCTAAGTGCCATGCAACATCGCCCTGTGTAAACATACCCACACAGGGTCCCAGGCTCAATCTTGTGCCCCTGTCCCTACAGTCACCCAACCCTGGTCTCTCTGGCATTTTGGGGTTCAGGAACAGCCCTTCTGAAGGCCTGGAAAGGGGCACACACCCAGCCTTGGGTTTGGAACCTGGAACATACGCCCTTCCAAGAGAGCTTGGGAGGGCCAGGTCATGTCTGGGCCTATTCTCTCCACTGCCTTAGGAGTGCCCTGTGGAGTGCCATCACCATGTGGTTGTCCTGTGGGCTGGGGTCTGGGAGTGTGTGCATGTCTGGATGTGTAAATCTGTACGTATGCACCTGTGTGTCTGAGTATCTGTGAGTATGTCACTGTGTAGCTGTCTCTGGACAGCTCTGTTTTTCTCTATCTTTGTATATATTTGTGTGTCTTCCTGAATAAGTGTGTGTTGGTTGTGCAAATCTGTGTGTTTGTGACTGTGTAATGTGTCTCTGGGCATGTGTGCCGCTGCGACAGTGTCTCTGTATGTCTGTGTTCTGTATCTGTGTGTATGTGTGTTGTTTGGTGTGTGTGTGTGTATGTGTGTAGTGTGTGTGTGTGAATTCGCCTCTCCTTTGGATGTCCCTGATTGTGTTTGTATTTGTGTGTTTATGTTTCTCTTAATGTCTGTGTTCTGTGTCTGTTTCTCTGCCTGTAGGTCTGTGACTGTGTGTGTGTGTATGCACGAGTGTCCATTGTGTGTGGGATCTGCCCTGTGGGGCTGTGTCTCATGGCCTTGTGTATCTGTGATCTCGTGTGTGTGTGTGTGTGTGTGTGTGTGTGTGTGTGTGTAAGCCTGTCTGTGGGCCATACCCCTTTGTGCTCAAGTGAAGCTGGAGCGGTTCTGTGCCTTAGTGTCTCTGTGGTTGTGGTGTCTGTTTATTTCCCTGTGAGCTCCTGGGTTTGCGCACCTAAGAAATTGGCAGTCACAGAGGGCCCTCTGTGGGTGAGAAGGGGACGATATGTGCTCCTCTCATTCCCGGGTTGGGCCCTTTCTGTCCCTGCTCTTCCAAGTTTCTGGTGACCCCCTGGTAGTCCCCTCTTAGGCCCCAAGGAGGGATGGATAAAAGGGTCAGGTTACAGCATTCCAGGCCAGGGATGTGAGGAGGGCTCTAGATGCCTGGAGAGGGTAATATTCAAAGAAGGAAAATTGTCTGTGGTCAAGGGATTCTGGGTTGGAGGGACCCTGGGTCCTGGGAGGGTGAATGAGTGGGGTCCTCTGGGAAGGGCTGGGGGACAGAGCTCCTGGGTCACTGGGAAGGGCTGATATGTAGGTTCCTACTGGGGAAAGCTAGAGGCAGGGCTCCTAGGCCTATGGCAGGGCTACAGGAGTCCTGGGTCCCTAGAGGTTGGGGCTCTCACTCACACATGCCAGGTTTAGGTTGGGATGCATGTGCACATGGGCATTATTGGGGGACATAAAGGCAGAAGACCACTGGGTGGAAGCCCATTGGGTGGAAGACCATTGGGTGGAAGCCCATTGGGTGGGGCGGCAGAGGTGGTCTGGCAGGCAAGTGTAGTCCCCAAGCCAACGCTGACCACCCTGGACATGCGTCCTGCCCCGGCCTTGCTGGGGCCTCACCCAGGCCACGGGCAGGTGCCTGGAGCCACATGGGCATCCCTCCTGGACCTGTGTGTCCTGGCTATTGAAGGGTGCTTAGGGCTACCTTGAGATGCTGGTGCCAGGAGGGAGAATCTGGTCCCAAGATATCTCAGGTTGGAGATTAGGGAGAATTACAGAGGGAGGGCATTTAACATAAGTTAATTCCCAGAATAAATGCTCAACACAGAGTATTGTTGATATCAGTATTTTATTACTTGCAATCTGAGTGCTCACCTGGGAAATTCTAAAGATAGAGAGAACTTGGAGGAAGCAGAGTAACTGAATTTAACTTAAAAGAACAAAAACATTGGAATTGTGGCACTCCTGATACTTTCCCAAATCAACATTCTCAATGCCCCACCCTCGTCTTCACCATAGTGGGGAGACTAGAGTGGCCAGGGATTTGCCTTAGGTGCACAGTGGGTTGTGAGTTCACTGCCGATTACATCTGACCCATCTCCTTTTTCTGAAGTTCTTTCCGTTTAATCTTGCCAGTGATGGTTTTTGGCAAATCTGGGACAAACTCCACCTGGTTGAGGATAAAGCAAATCCACAGTGACTCAGTCCTGCTGCCATTTCCTACCAATTCTCCACTCTCCTCCTCTGTCCCTCCGCAGTCTCCCATGCAGGCTGACACCATGTGGTGGCCTTAATGGAGTCCCCAAGTATTTCAGGTTCTCCCCTGACCCCTAGAAGGTGGACGTGGCCATGGGATTTGCTTTGACCCAGGAGATGTGAGTGGAAGTGAAGCATATAACCTTGAGGCAAAAGAGTTGGGAGCCATCAAGACTGACCACCCTCTCCTTCATCTCTTAGAGCAGCTGGCAGGTCCCATATGGAGGCTGCTCCTTTATTCTGGTGGCAGAATGAGGGGATGTGGAGGACAGGTCCCAGGAGAGCCATGGAGGACATGAGGCATGAGCAGAAAAAGAGCCTTCAGTGTTGTAAACCTTCATTGTTTGGGGCTGTTTGTTACCTACAGTGATACCTAGCCCGTCCTAGGAGGGAACTCTTCAGGGGCACCAGATCCCTTCCATCTGCCCTCACTCACCTTCCTTGGGTACTTGTATGGGGCTGTCACTGACTTGACATGATCCTGCAGTTCCTTGGTCAACTGATCCTTGTCATGAGACAGGAACTGTGGGGTCAGGACAATAAAGGCCTTCACCACCTGCAGAACGAAGGCATGGGCTCACAGTGAGTGCCAACCTACTCCATAGCTTGAAAAGTCAATGTTTATTGAATGAGTGGTAAAACAAGGTGACACTGAACCCTACAGTGGTTTTGGAAAAGGAGAGGACCAGGTGTAAATCCCTGTACTTCCAATTCCCACTCCATGCCTTGATAAGTTATTTGACCTCTCCTTAACCTCAGTTTCCTTTTCTGTGAAATGGGGACAATAAAGGCTCCATTCTTCATTTGGTTTCTTTAAAGCTTCCAGGAGATAATACATATAAAACATCCAGCTAGTTTACATTTATTACTCCTGTCATCAATATTTTCATCATCATTTTTACTATTATTATATATATAATTTAGTGCCAGAAACCCAATGGGCATTTCATAATTACTGGCAATTTATTATTTTTATATTAGCAGTGTTATCCATATTTTATTGCACAAGGCCTCACATGTAGAAGGTGATCAATAAAGACTTTTTTTTCTTTTTTGGAGATGGAGTTTCATTCTTGTCACCCAGACTGGAGTGCAATGGTGCGATCTTGGCTCACTGCAACCTTGGCCTCCCAGGTTCAAGCGATTATCCTGCCCCAGTCTCCCAAGTAGCTGGGACTACAGGTGCCTACCCCCGGTTCCACCCACCCGCCCCCACCACGCCTGCCTAAGTTTTTGGTATTTTTAGTAGAGACGGAGTTTCACCATGTTGGCCAGCCCAGTCTTGAACTTCTGACCTCAGGTGATCGGTCCGCCTCGGCCTCCCAAAATGTTGGGATTACAGGCATGAGCCACCGTGCCTGGCCTAATAATACTTTTCAATATACAAATGCATGTATGTTCTGGAGCCACATTGCTGAGATGCCATTCTGCCTCCACCCCTTACTAGCTGCATGATGTGGACAGGTTACTTAACCTCCTTCTGCTTCTCTTTCCTCATCTATAAAAAGCATAAGTGTTCTTAGATTACTACATTGTGTGAGAGTTAAGTGATTTGGTATATATAAGAGCTCATTAAATAGTATCTAGCATCCTTTTATTCAGAGCCACAGAGAGTCCACAGTGTCCCCTGGTGACCATACCACGTAAGTGCACATGCACACTACGCCCTTCCACCAAGGCTGCACAGGTAAAGCCTGGATGTTTCCCCTGCACCTGCTTTCCTAGTGCCCACGCGCAGACACGATGATCTCTGTGTTCTCCTCACCTCTCCTCGAATCGGGTCTGGGCTGCTCACCACGGCTGACTCTGCCACCGCTGGGTGCTCCATCAAAGCGTTCTCAACCTCTGCGGGCCCGATGCGATACCTGGAGGATGAAGGGTTCTGAGGCAGATGCCGGGGCTGGGGTGAACCAAGTCCCCAGATCTCCAGCTTCCTTTGGCACAGAGGGTGGAGGTCATAGGAAGCCAGAGACGCCTGACTTGTCTGTGTCATGGGCCCAAAGTGTAAAGAGCTGGACATTATAGGCTGAGAAATACAAGACTCTGGTGCTCCCGGCTTCTTGCCTCACTGCCTGTATTGATGGAGGAGGGAGAATGTTTTGTCTCCTCTGGGCTTGGCCCAAGCAACTTCCCCTAACACGAAATCTCTTGGAAGCCTCAAACTTGGTCTTAAACATTCATGCAAATTCTGCATACTATTTCCCATTGCATCAGCAGGATTTTCATCTTTTATTACATATATTTAAGGCTTACAACATGATGTTTTGATGTACATATACACAGTAACGTGATTAAAACACTCAAGCACACTAGCATATCCATCATCTCACACAATTGCCTTCTTTTTTTCTTTTGTGGTAAGAGCATTTAAAATCTACTCCCTGTGTAAATTTCCATTACATCATGTTTTAGAAATTAAAAAAAAAAAAAATCCCATCCAGGCTGGGCGTGGTGGCTCACACCTGTAATTTTACCACTGTGGGAGGCTGAAACAGGAGGATCACTTGAGGTCAGGAGTTCGAGACCAGCCTGGCCAAGATGGTGAAACCCCATCTCTACTAAAAGTATAAAGATTAGCTGGACATGCTTGCTTGAAGCCAGGAGGCAGAGGTTGCAGTGAGCCAAGATCAGGCCACTGCACTCCAGCCTGGGTGACAGTGCGAGACTCTGTCTCAAAAAAAGAAAAGAAAAAAAAAATCCCATCAATTTCTCTAAAATATCCAAGAAAAATTGTTGCTGTAGTGTAATGTGCCTTTTAAAAAATCATGTAGGGGTTAGGGACAGGGGCTCAGAGCCAGACTACCTCAGTTCAAATCTGGATTGCATCCTGTGCTGTCTTTGAGTCTTTAGGCAAATTTTCTCGCTGGTCAGTGACCCACTTTCCTCGTTAGTAAAACAGGGATAATAATCACATCTCCCATCCAGAGTTGTGAGGTGGGTTATATAAAGCATTAAGGACAGTGTTTTCACATAGTAAGTACTCTAGGTTAGCTAAATAGTTACAATGAATAATATATTTATACTAATAAATAATTTTATAATAATAGATTTATTAATCTATTCCTAATAGATTATTATGCTCATAGATTAATAGCAAATATATTCATAATAATAATGAACAATAACTAAAGGTTAGCTATTATTATTACTATGTTTGCCCTGTGACATTTGGTGCTGCACTAGAGAGGCATAAACATGAAATAGGCTCCCTGAACCTAGAAGACCAAGATAGTCTCCCTTCTCAATTCCATTCCCCATACCCCACTTTAAATTGCACAGTGTCTTATTATGGCTCCTCGTCCAGACCCTCTTGAACTTCATTTTGCAATCAGGGCACCATAGACACGGCTCTATTCAGATTTAGGCTGAGGGTCCCATCACCAATGCAAGAAAAAATGTCTAGGTAAGCAAGATTCCATGAGGCATGTGACAGCAACAGCAGCCAGCCCAGCATCAGCCACACCTACCCAGAGGCATTAATGATGTCATCACTCCTCCCCAGGAAACAAATGTAGCCTTCTTCATCCATCATTCCTCTGTCTCCAGTGTTGAAGAAGTCCCCACATTCCACTTCAGCTGTCTTCTCTGGGTTCCCCTGCAAAAAGAAGAGAGCTTCTTTGTTGAAGGCAGTGAATTTAGAGGTGATGAGTCACAACTTTGGGTTCCAATCTGGGTTTGAATTCTGCTTCTGTTTCTACTTGGTACCTGGGCAAGTTTTGCCATCTCTCTGAGTCTGTTTTCATTACACGTAGTGTATGATGCATGCCACTGCTCTATGAGTGGTTGTGATGAAACCGCTTTCAATGACAATGTTTAAAAATATCAATTCGACCTGGCATGGTGGCTTACGCCTGTAATCCCAAAACTCTGGGAGGCCAAGGTGGGTGGATCATGAGGTCAGGAGTTCAAAGCCAGTCTGGCCAACATAGTGAAACCCCATCTCTACTAAAAATACAAAAATCAGCTGGGTATGGTGGCGCGTGCCTGTAATCCCGGCTACTCAGGAGGCTGAGGCAGGAGAATCACTTGAACCTGGGAGGTGGAGGTTGCAGTAAGCCAAGATCGCACCACTGCAATCCAGCTTGGGCAACAGAGTGAGACTTCATCTCTCTCTCTCTCTCCATATATATATATTCATTTTGTGTGACACTACACTAGAATGACATTCCCATTATAGTGTGAACCTTGTTTACTGCTATAAGCTCAGCATTCACATAGAGTCTGGACAGATGAGAGGGGTCAATAAACATTTGCTGAGTGAATTTTCTTCCCTAAATACTATCTCATTTGATCCTCGCAGAAAGCCTATGCATCTAGTATGTTTTTAAGTTAACTTTTCGTTTTAAGATAAATGTGGACTGGCATGTAGTTACAAAAAATCATATGGATTGATGCTCGGTACTCGTCACTAGTTTTCCGCAGTGGTACCATCCTGCAAAACTATAGATGAGTATCTCAGGCAGAATACTGACCTTGATACAATCCACCAGCCTTCAGCTCTCCCATTTCACTTGTGTGTGTGTGTATTTAGTTTTATGCAGCTTTATCGCATATGTAGGACTGTGCCTTCCCCACCTCATCAGGAAGGTCTCTGATGTTGCTCTTTTAAAACCACACCCACCTCCCTCTCGTTCCCCCTTCCTCTCCTCTCCACATCCCTGACCCCTTGCTAACAACTAATTTGTTCTCCATTTTTATAATTTTGTTGTTTCAAGCATGTTATAGAAATAGACTCATATAGTATATAACTGTATGGGACTGTTTTTTTTTTTTTTCTCCTCAGCATAATTCCCTAGAGATTCATCCAAGTTGTGTGCACAGATGGTTTGATCCTTTTTATTGCTGAATAGTATTCCATGTTATGGATGTAGCTCAGTTTTTGTTTAATCATTTACCTGTTGAAAGGCATCTGGGTTGTCTTCAGGTTTCGACGATTTTGAGTAAAGCTGCTATGTACATTTACATACCTGTTTTTGTGTGAAGCTGGCACTTTTTTTGTAGCCCATTTTAAATAAGAAAAAAACCTAGGCTTGAGGGAGGCACCTTTGCCTGCTCAAAGTCACTCAGCTGCTCACTGAGAGGGCTGATATTTGAATTTCATTCTTGCTTCATGACCGATTCACTTGAT